AACCAGAAATTCGTTTAGTTAACAGATAAAACCCCCCTAGAAACAAAACCAACCTCTCCACTTTTTCCCAATCTTCGGGTTCGGGAGGCCTTTCATTGTCATTCAAATCCTCTCCATCAGGAAGAGATAACCCACTAAAAACACGTCGAAACTTCAAAGCCGTTTCCAACATTATGTATGTGGAGTTCCAACGAGTGGGGACATCAAAGGATAAAGAAGATTTTGAATCTATGTTTGCTTTTTGCACAAGATCTTTGAATCTAAGTATTCTTGCAGGGGAATTCTTAACATATTTCACAGCATTTCTAACTCTATCAATGCACACACCATGTTCTCTAATACCATCCCACACAATTAAATTAATGATATGAGCAATGCATCTAACATGAAGATTTTTTCCATCATTTATACATCCTGTTCTTCTAACCATTCTACTCAAGTGTGCACAAGCAACATCATTTGAAGAAGCATTATCAACAGTGACAGTAAAAAGTTTATCATCAATACCCCAATACTCTAAACATGCCTCAACTGCTTTTCCAATAGCCTCTCCTTTATGACTAGAAATTGGACAAAAATTTATGATCTTTTTATTCAATTTCCAATCATTATCAATGAAATGAGCTGTAAGACACATATAATTAATTCTTTGTATTGAAGTCCAAGTATCAGTGGTCACAGAAATTCTTTGACATGTCTTAAACATTTCTCTCAATTTCTCTTTTTCACTATAATACAACTTTAAACAATCACGAGCAATGGTAACACGAGATGGAATGTGAAATTGTGGACATGCAACTTGCACAAAGTGCCTAAAACCGGGTTTTTCCACATGCTTAAATGGTAACTCATCAACAATAATCATGTGAATCAATGCCTATCTAACATCATTCAAGTTAATAATCCTACTCCCACACTTTAATTCACTACTCTCATGTTCTTGATCAAAATACAATTTAGTTTGCTTTTCTTTGCCCTTTTCTTTTTCTATATTAATAGGATTACCGAGACATGATTCTGCATGGTTTTTAACATTTTTTGAACCATTAAGATTACCATCAGCAGCAAAAGTTTTAGGACAGAACTTACATTCAGCTCGTAGTTTTCCATTCTCGACGTACTCTAAGTAATATTTCCAATACTCAGCTTTCCTCTTACTTTTTCTGTTCCATATATATTCCCGCCCCGCTTTTAGCTTCTTATCAGGAGGCAAAGTAGATTGCAATTCTTCCATATCCTTTTCAGAAAGTGGCTGTGACGTTTGTTCAGAAAAAGAAGCAGACCGTTTGGATTGAGAGCTCTCCATCTACAATATAATTATATACAATATAAGTAATTTTAAAGTAACAATTATATACACATACCATTTTATAAAAAAATTTAAGAGCAACGTTGGATTTTGTTGGCTATTAGTTATATTCCTTGATTAAGAGTTTCACTTGATTTCGATCACTTGCTAAACTTATCTGGATTTTATTGGACTTATTTAAATTATTTTAATTGTAATTTAATTTTAGGTGATTTAATTAAACCGATTATCCTAAACTCATCTTATCCAAACATGTTAACCCTTAAACTTATTTTTCATGACAAAAGTGAAATTAAGGTGGACATGGGTTTAAGGGTTGGTAAAGCAAATCACATAAATTATTAAAAACAATAAGTGGGAGTGGGTAAATATAAAGCTCATTATATATGTTTTTTGGTTGGTGAAATTGCTTAGTCATATAATAATAATATGTCAATATAAAGTACAACTATATTAAATAAGAGAAACATGGTCATGAATCATAACATATAATTTGGTTAAGATCTCAAATGGCCAAAAAAATTTCAACATTGAGAGGTTGGTTTTCTGTTAAAATGTCCCTAGCTGAGTCATCTCCACATAAGAATTGTAAAGTTGGGCCTATTACTTTTCTGTATAAGTGAAAAAGAACTATCTTTGGAGAGGAAACTTATTACTAATCATCCTTTTTCGATGTTTATATAATTTATTAGCAAATTGGGCACACACTTATTTAATTTCCAAACGTACAAATTGTCTGGTCTTTGATCTTGATAGAAAGGAGATTATGTGCCAACATCAATAACCTAAATGCACCCACAGTTTGGTGAAGTGATTCTATCAAAATGATGACCTTATATACACTTTGGGTAAATATAGTAACATTGCGAACGAGACATTGGCGTAAGGGTTAAGATTATTGTTTTAAGTACATTAAGTTACAAATGTTTGAATCTCTCTTTCCTATGCATTTATATCACTAAATCGGTCATTGATGTAGTTGGCACAAAATTGGACAATAGCACCAAAACTCTCGATTTCTAAATCGTTTATATTTATTGATCCGTGATCCTCTTTACGTAACAACAAGAGAATGATAGAAACCTAAATAACCATGTACTCTCCGCCTCAACAATAATAGGTCATCAGTGATTCATAGTTTAATTCTTATTAATTACGTAGTATTATTTAGCCTAAGTTAATGCTTAATTTTTTCCCTAATATATGTTCTGATATCGTATTATCAATGTAATTTATCCTTGAAATTCTTAATTAATTAGGGAATCATTAAAGATAATCACGAAAATTTCAAATTTTCATTTAGTAAACCGAGAAAGTGACCAAATATATAATGCGACCAATTATCATGAGTAGAAAGAAAAGGAGGGGTGATGTAACTAAAGACACAATTGCTGTGAAAGGCAGCAATACATACTATACCTCCAATCTCCATGCATGTGACATACCTATAAATTCAAGTACACATACAGATCGATCATTTTACACGCATTAGTTTCATTTAAAGCTTTTCAAACTCCACGCTTTCTCTATCCCTATGCACTCTTTTTAAAAATGAATCAGCCACCTGAATCTTGAATCTGTATACAAGTTAAATTCACCACTATTATTTAATTGAGAACAGTCCTTAAAATTGGATTAACTATAGATGTATTAAGTCAATAAAGATGGACTTAATTGGTTGCTCATATAACTAAAAGTTGTTTTCTTTTAGTTTCATCTAATTTTAATTGAAGTGATGTCTTGCTATCTTTTGAAACATTGAACTAAGTATGGGGTCCACATGCTGTTTGAATCACATTTTCATCTACTTTTTTTTTTTTTTTAAAGCCATCTTTAGGTGAAAGTTAATGATCTTGGTGATCAAGTCTAAATTTTAAGGTAATGATCTTGATCTACCATATCTAAAAGTTATTTTTATAATGTTGATCTTTTATGGAGCCAAAGTTTTCACACTCCCCCTCATACGAATAAGTGGCCCTAGTGTTATTTAAGCTATTAAGTGTCCCAAAATATAGGTATATTCTGATACCATGATAAATATGGGTCTAGTTCACACCTGTAATTATCAAGAGAGAAAGTTCATTTCACAAGTTCAAGCGAGTTTCATTTTAAAACCATATGGAAATATGAGGAGCCCCATAACCTTATAATTGTCTAACTCCTAATCTTTTATTAATATGGAACACTTACATGTATTAAATCGAAAAATTATATTTCAATTCATACACCCTTATTTATGGTTTACTAACTATTTTTGGGTGAAAAGTTATACGAAGTATGATATGTTAATATGTCGATGATTGCATGCTGTCTTTATTCCATTGGTGCTTGAATTGAAAGATCTTGTTTATTTATACTTAATTAGGGGAAAAGATATAAATTTGTGAATTCAAACACACTAATATGGTCATGGCATAAAGTGTGATTATTGCTGACACAACCACAAAGAATAATGAAGCATGATTAAAGATTAAAGTGACAGTGAAAATGAATATGGCAGTATTGTAAGCAAAATGCTTAGTCAATAATGATCATTCTTCCAGTACATAATTGAATTGCATGATTAAAATGGCGATTGTAATGTCAAATTCTTGTTACTTTTTTTATTTTATTACCTACACGATCTAAATGTATGGCAAATTTAATTTAACGATAACAATAGTACTTAAAAAATAAGGACATAATAGGTAGACATCAAACTCCTCAAGAATTAGTTATATAATACGAAATACAAGTAGACGATTGATAGAGTTTCTTGATTAATTCTGTTTATTATAAGAAACCGTGTTAACATATACTCAACATTCTCGATTCTTGTTTGGTTGATTTTAATCAATCATTCGAATTTCATTTAGTATTGCTTGTTAATCATAAAAAATAGTTAGCTCAAGATTACTGACAAAATCTTGGACCTAAAACATTAATTCCAATTAAGGAAAAATAATTAGATGTTTTGTCCATAATAGGACCACATAATTTAATTGGTTGAAGTGATTGATCACTTAATTTGCATGATCAACTTAAAGTTTATGGGTTTTCGGCTCCACCTGGTAGTTAAGTATCGCATCAACTTATTATTAATTAAAGTAATTAAGCTTTTTGTATCTTAATACAAAAAATAAAGGTGTAATTAGTTTAGCATAAACTTTAATCAATCACACATTCCTTGTGTACAGCCTGTGCAAATACCATGTTATAGTTGTTACACATGATAACCACCAAATCTCCACATTCTCATGAACCCTAACGTCCTTAAGTAATACATGAGCATATTAATTTAATCATACATTCAAAATTAATTATTTTTTTCACATAAAAAAAAAAGAAAAAAAAGAAAAAAAAGACTTTAGATCATGCTTTTTATCACATACATTCTACCAAAATAACTATCCATATATCAGCAAGAGCTCATACTTTTTGATCCTTGATCCAAATTTAAAATATAGATACTATTTACTAAACCCTAATCCATAAAAAAGTTCTACGGCACAACCAGATCTCATAATTAGAAACTGATACATAATAATAGATACGAAGTATATATCATAGTAAATTATAATGTACATATTATATCAAGGATAATTTTTATTTTGAAAATGACTCAGCGGTTCACTTCATTATCCTTATATATACAGAATAAAAGTTGTATTTTCTCGAAATTACGAGAAGAAGACAAAATAGTTGAATTATTAGTTAAACAATCCACATGGCAGCCAGTCAAAATAGCACTCATATTCGTCATCAAATTCTCACCATCACCTCACACACCTCACAACCAAACCCCACACCAAAACCTTTCACCAAATTCTTCTCCCTACTTCCATCTATAAATTAGCTTCCTTTGCTTCATTCATTTTCCCCCTTCTTTTCCCCATTCTTTTGCTTAGAAAAAAGATTGGATAAAAGAAACTTATAAAAAGATTATTCATTCTTCTCTTTTTTATTAAAAGAAAAAAAAAAAAACAGAGTTTTTCTAGCCTTAGTTTGCATTGCATGTGCTTTGGAATCAACAACAGCTTTCTATATATACATATATTTGTATAATTAGAGAGCACCGCCCATTTTCATAAATCATTAACATATAATTAATTACATTTCTGCCTATAAAATCTTTCTACAATTCCCAATAATCCACAACATTTTCATAATACAAGATTCTGAATTATTCTTCTGATTAACCAATCAATGGGTGAAGAAGCTAAGCCAGTAAGTGTGTAATGATCAATAAATATGATTGGTTTAATATAATTTCCAATGTTTTTGGAAATGGGTTTTGTTATTTGATAATTATAATTTTGTTATATTAATGAATATGATTGGTTTTAGGAAGAGCAAGCTCCAGCAGCAGAGAATAAGCCAGAGGAGAAACCTGCAGCAGAGGAGAAGAAAGAAGATAGTCCACCACCACCGCCACCGGCTGAGGAAGCGAAACCTCCTCCAGTCGAGGAAGAAAAGAAGGAAGAAGAAGAACCACAACCACCACCACCGCCACCGCCTTTTGTTCTATATGTGGACTTGCATTGTGTTGGATGTGCTAAGAAAATTGAGAGGTCCATCATGAGAATTAGAGGTCTATTATTTCTCTTCTTCTAGTGTTACACTTTTAGTGTACGTGACATGATACATATTGGGTGGTTGTTGTTGTCACTTATGTAATTATAAATAGAACATTTTAAATCGTGTAGGGTTATAATCTATAAAAAAAAAATTACATGGTTCGAATAATGATCATGTTACTAATATCAGAATTTTGTTTGTTAGAAAAAGGATGGTCGATCTTGTTTGGCAAATAGTAGTTGTTAGCTATGAGAGTCGATTATGTGCCTTACTAATAAGTCGTATTTTTTTTTGTTATGTAAGCAGGAGTCGAAGGGGTAGTAATTGACATGGCTCAAAATCAGGTAACCGTAAAAGGTGTGGTGGAACCACAAGCCATATGCAATAAAATAACAAAGAAAACCAAGAGAACGGCTAAGGTTTTGTCACCTTTACCAGCAAATGAGGGTGAACCCATGCCAGAAGTTGTCACTTCACAGGTGATTTTCATGGCATACCTAACTAACTACACTCATCGTTACATTTTGTTACTCCGTAATTATCTACATCCTTGTTTAACACGCGCTTGTGTATTAGAGACCGTACAAAATTAAACTTGAACAGAATAATGAAATGGATTCCATAAGTTCATTAAGTTGTTATTTTATTAAGTTATTTATTAAATTACCTTTTTGTACAGGTTAGTGGATTAACTACAGTGGTGCTTAGTGTAAATATGCACTGTGAAGCATGTGCTGGACAACTCAAGAAGAAAATACTTAAAATGAGAGGTACATTATTTATGAATATGCAAGCTATTATTAGTAATTTTACACTTCTTTTTTTTGAGCAGGATACAAAATTAATTCATTAATCAATTATCCCGTACATTATTTTTTACTTCTATAAAAGTTAACGGTATTAATTAAAAATAAATTCCTGTGTTTTCTGCAACATTTTTGTCGATCTTTCTGATCATGTCATCACTGTTGGTCCACTTTTTAGTAAAACTTCCTGCAAAAAGAATCCCATAAATAAAATTAAAATCTATACCTAAAATTATTAAATCACTTTTATTTTATTTTTATTTATTTGCTCAGTTTCCCTTTAGTAAGGTTCAGCCTTATTGCAATAATAAAAAATATTTAAATTATAAAATCATTTTTTTTTAAAAAAAATTAAGAAGAAGAAGATGAGACAGACTTGCTGAATTAAACGAACACATGTTCATGAAACAAATAATTGTGGTCCAAGGAATTTGGCAGCATTGCTTCAGTTGCCAAACCTCATTATAATTTACCTAATTAACTATACAGTATATAATTTACCAGCATTGACTGAACTAAGTTACATTGTATATCAAATTTTCAATCAAATATAAAAAAACTTAAGAATCATTACTATCTTTTAGAAAATATAGGATTATACGCATTTTATATACCTTTTATTACACATAACATTAATATTTTGTTTTTATGTGAATACATGCATGTGATACGTAGTACATTTTTTTATAAAGATTCATCATGACTTAATAATGAAGTATATATGGATGATTAGGTTGGACTTGGATGTATTTAAACCTACACATGCATTGATGCATGGATTTACATTAAAAGTAGTGTACGTACGTATATGATTTTTATAAGGTTACGTACATCTGAACTTTCTCAAACTTATGTTTTAGTTAAACGAGATTAATATCAAATTAATTAATGTTCCAGGAGTACAAACAGCAGAAACTGAGCTAAGTGGTGGAAAGGTCACAGTAACAGGCACAATGGACGCAGACAAGTTGGTAGAGTACGTGTATAGACGCACCAAGAAGACTGCCAAAATAGTCCCACAACCCGAACCTGAGAAACCGGCTGAAGAGCCGCCCAAGGCCGAGGAGGCGGGTGAGAAGCCACCGGAAGAGCCTAAGACCGAGGAAACGAAAGAAGAAAACAATCCGCCACCAAAGGAAGGAGGGGAAGAAAAACCACCCGAAGCTGGAGGTGATAAAAAAGGTGGTGAACATGTAGAAGAGCCTAAGAAGGAAGAAGGTGAAGTTAATGGTGAGGTTATTCACACCATTAATAATTACGTCGAAGAAGAATCAATGAAAAGAATGATGTATAATTACTATAATTATCAACAACCTTTGTATGTGATAGAAAGAATCCCTCCTCCACAGTTGTTTAGTGATGAAAACCCAAATGCATGTTGCATTTCATAACCCATAATTAAAAGAGTACTTAAGGGGTAAATGATGATTAATCACCACACAAAAGCAAATTTGAACTTATAATAATCAATGGTTTTTTAAAGATGTTATTGTAAGTTCAAATAATAGAGATTTACTACCACATGATGGTATGAGAGTATAGAGAACTTTGTTGGGTTGTTGTGATAAAGTGTTAAATTTTAATTAATAAAGATAATGTTTAGAATTATTTTGTTCCTACACTACTTTAAATTAATTGAATACAATGGATTATAAGGTATGTACATAATTATATAATAATGATCAGTGTACAAATTATTTAATGTATATGTTTTATTCTGTTTCTATAATTGGGGGATTGTTCTCAACTGAGAGAATATGCATCAGAAACACTAACTTCCATGCTCATGATCATGTGTGTGGAAGTTGGTGCCATGCTTTATTATGCGTTAGTTGAGTTTCTTGAATTGTACTTAAAACAAATCTTAATTAAGTTAGATAATAATTTAAATTATTTTATAGAGATAATAACCTTTATTTTAATTGGTATGTGGAAATTTTCAAGTACGTGATTGCCACATGATTTGAATAATTTGCATCATTTTTGTGTTTTGTAAGTTAAGATTAGTCCAAAGAAGAAAAAATGGACATTTTTCTTAATGAGATTTTAATTGTAGGAGCAAAGTGCCAACATTAGCCGCTAAAATTAGCTAGGTTCACATTTATGACACTTTCTATATATTTTATCGTAATATTGATTGTACTTTGAATCTTTGTAATACATTAAGTATTTATATTGTGTTGTGTTTTTTGGAGGAAAAGTTGAAAGAAAAAGAGTAATTAAATGGATCAAGCTAAGGAATGGAAGAGAAAAGTGAGGGATAAATGAAAAAATGTATCGTTCCTTCTTTACAAAAGCAATATATTATCTTCACTATAATTGAAGAAAAGATTTTTACGAAAGTCCAAATTGATAGTGTACAAGTTAATTTAACACAAAAATGCATTGATTTTAACATCAAATTACCAAGAATCCTGGTTAGCCTAATTGTAATCTAGAAAGTTAGATCAATTTCTTCTCAACCAAACACAACCTTGATTACGTTAATTAATGCCGCCACTTCTATTTTGCTATTTACAAAATTTACCTCTTTTAATTATGAAAGCTGATGTTGTGTATGAATATTTGGATATTCTATGATAGTCATCCTCTTTAAAATGACTACCATCATACTAACTTTTTATTGGCTGATTTTAATTTATTTTTTGATGTCAAAATAATTATATCATTTATCTAATTTTTAAAATTCATTTACTAATTTTGAAATAATTTTTGAATTTGTTTTTTATAATTTTCCTAATTAATTTACAAAATTCAATTTTTAATATTACTGAAATTAAAAAAATAATTCATAAATTAATTATGAAAATATATACTATATATATAAAAAATAAGTTTAAAAAATTAAGAGAAAACATTTATAATTAATTTTAACATAAAAAAAAATAAAATAAAATAAGCCAATAAAAAAATTAGTATAATGATAGTAATTTTAAGGATGACTACTATAAAAATTTTCATGAATATTTAGCTAGTATTTTTATCATAGAGTACATCAAACAATCAAACTTATCTAAACGATTATTTCATAGAATATTTTCATGTTTTGAACGAAAAATGAAAACGAACAATTTGTTATGTTTTGAATGCTAAAACCTGGATTATTACATTTGACGCTTCAAACAAAATTAAAGTTATTTCATCATTTGCCATCTCAATCATGTTTCACCTTGATTCTCATGGACCATGCATGGCAAAACCAACAAGGAGAACGAGATTTTGGACGGATTAAAAGTTCAAAATAGAGCGTATCATCTCTTCAAATTAATTGACAATGGATAGAGTAAGTGTACTTTCAAACTAAGCTAAGACTAAAAGGTGAAAAATATACTTCGTATCACTTTATTACTTTTCTAATGTACGACGGTCTAATGTAACAACATGTGGTTCAAATGATAAATCATATAAAATGAGATAATAATCCAATTATGTATAGAATTCACCGAATGATAATGTACAACATTTAGTTAGAAAAATTATGGTGTATATGGATACCACATGAGGAATTGTCAGCAAAAGAGAAAACAATCAAATGTTTTTTTTTTTTTTTAAAAACTATACTCGACATAGAGATGCTTTCAACTTTTCCAAAAACAAAACTAATTAATTGAAAAAAAAACTGACTAAATTGGGTGGGTCCATAAATTGCACTAGAATGAACGGAGTCAGCAGAAGCAGGTCCGGTCAGAGCATGTAAAAAGGAATACAATTGGGACTCACATCTAACGTGGCATTTGTATGGGTGTCGTAAGATTTGTCGATAAATTGTCTGCTTTGTCTGCATCTAATTACTATTTAAGGAGCCTAAAGCAAAAGAAATAAGAAATAGATTCAACATCTAAAACTTTTGAAAAAAATATTCTGATTCAATATCTATAGTTGTCTGCTTTTGATTCAAAACTACGGACGGAGTAATTTAGTTGATGGCAATGCCTTGTTTGTGGCTTCTAAAGATCGAGATATTCTATTATGTTTCTTGATAAGTGCGTTACTTGTTTTATTCGGTCGTTTTTTTTCATGATCCTCATACATACACACATTCTTTTTAAAATGTGAATGACTTTTTACCCACTTACATTTTATCACTTCGATTTAGAAAAAATTTCCAACAATGGTAAAAAATTATGGATTATAACCTTTAATTTTTAACAATTTTGAAGAAAAAAAAGAAGTCGAGTTGCTTGCCATGGATCAGAAGAGACCCTGGAAGGCCATTTGGATGGTTATAACCATCCACTTTAAACCGTCAATTTAGCCAATTATGTGCTCGCCTCCCTTCATTAACTCAAGGCTACAACGGGTCTTTATCTCTGAAAATGATCCTATTTTGTGTATTGTAACCTCTAAATTTGGACTTTGCATAACAATTTTGTACCTTCCAAGGCTATGCTTCAAGGTGGTTCCCAAAGAGCCTCGGAAGACTTACTTGGTCATCCCCTTAAGTAGCTTCTAAGTTCTAACCTATAACTTTTGGATACACTTAGGTATATAATTGTAAGAAGAAATTACAAATTCTTATATGTTTTACGGAACCAAGCCCGGAAACATCTAGATTCTAGAGTCATAAGTTGTACTCGTATAGTCATATGTACTACCAAAGAATAAAATTGCTGTTCATTTGGGGCTACATTTTGCACCTCTATCCTCTCTTCCCCTTCATGTGAATTATGGTGACACAACATGATGTTATGAAAGACGCCAAAGAATATTTATCGTAAGATTCGTAACAGAATAAATTGGGTCTTCAAAAGTGAGCTAAAGTGGTTAAAAATCCTTGATCTAAATCTAACGCCTGCTACAATAGGACGAAATATATTGTCAGCTTAAATGCCAAGGTTAATTAATTCAAAGAACAAAAATGTCTGAAAAGCAAAATTTCAGCGCTACTTTTGTTGGTACTTAACTTCTACCTACTATGTGCTACTAGATCTAATAATTTTATCCTTTGAAGTTTGAAATAATTATCAGCATCATATCTTATATATGTTCGTTGGTACAACTATTTGGGTAGTTATTGCTTGCGTTATAGTCGGTTGAATGTTGAAGTATTCAAGCTCATCAACCATGCATTTCAAGTTAGTTGTTAGTTTGTTTTTTCAAGGGGTACCATATAAGGCAATTATGGTAAAAATAAATAAATAAATAAATAAATAATAAAAAAATAAAAATCATATCAGCTAGCTCTTTTTGTTACATGACTAGGAAGATGGAACATGTATGTTAATATAAAAATGGTGTATTTCTTGGCAATATCTGAATAGGAGGAACATGTTACATTTAGCATTGCATGAACATGGGTAAGAAAAAGAGAGTGTATAGTGCCTCAATAAACCCTTTCACGAGGGAAATTTCTAATGTGTACGATTGCTAATTAAATGATTAACATTAACAATTCAATCTGCTGCTTGTTTTGCCTCTCAAATTGCCGATAGATATGTTGCATGCACGAGCATGCGCATGTGGAATCTATATAAATCAATAAGGATAAGATACGAAGGGTATGTATGTCAATAGTAGGTACCCCTTGGTGACCGACATCATATCAATGTATGTATACAGGCCGAGGGAATTATTGAAGGGTGCAATTCAAAGAACGTATCAATCCCCGCACATATATCATAGTGTGAAACCATAAGTTATACAAGTACGAAGTAGTTAATGTGAGGAGATTGAATAATTCACTCAGATTTTGTAAATAAGATTTTGCTGCAACTCAAATATAGCATTGCTTGCTCATGGACACCCACCTGAGCTGTTGTGAAAGCGAGTCTTCAAAACGAACTTGTCGTATATGGACTTCAACCTTGTTGATCTATCAATGACCAAGATGAATTTTGGATGATTAAGTGAAGATCAAATTGACCAATGTTAAAGATGAATCTGATTTTTATTTTTTTTGTTAAAAGTGCATGAATTATTGCTCTACTTATTTATTTAAAACTCATCATCGAATTGAAGGGGTAGCTAGCTTGATATAGGTTCAAAATAGTTTAGTCACCAACACCAATATTAACTTAGTATTAATTATGTGACAATTAATTCTAGACGAAGAGAACAAATATATTGTGTATCATTTCAATTATCAGTGCTTAACCTTATTCAAAACACGCGCTTAGAATTGTGTACGAAGTTTATCGAAGATGTATGCCTAATGTATGAAGTGAATGGTACATGTACATGTTTTCACCAATCTAATGTTAATATGTTGTGACTTATCTAATTAAGAATATGCTGAATGACGGACCTCTTACTTTTCTTGTTAATGAAACCTTAATAATTCACTTTAAGAGGCAACTTTTTGCTTAAGGCAAAGCAATAAGCACATGGTAGCCATGCTAGAACGTTCAACACTGCCATGCAAGAAGAGGGTCCAAACTAATTAAAGAGTCTAATCTTTTCCATTAAATAATATATCTGACTCAGAATTCATGCAATTTCTCCAAGTTATATCACTAATCATAACAAAGAATCTAAGAAAAACATCTTTTAGCCTAAAGTTCCTTGTCAACATGTTAAAAAGCAATGAACAACAACTGAAGAAAATGCAAAAGAAAGCTAAGAAACCAATACATGAGAAGAAAAGCTAATTAAAGTTATGTTTGACATAGTATTAACTAGGAATCATTGTTTTGTGTCGTTTCGACTTTTTCGTCTTTGGAATTCAGATTAGATTACGTGACCTCATTAAGTTATCTTAATCGTATATATATATAGCTACATATTAGCATGAACATTTGGATAAGGCATTTTGAAATACACCAGTACCATTCGATTTGGAAAATCGCGGTTAATTTGTAAGGATTAGTATAATTATAAGTGTATTTATAAGATAAAGTCCTAGTTAATTCAATTTAAATGGCAGATTTACAAATTGTTCCGGCTTACAAGAGTGTTGAGCCTCAATATGTGGAGATGAAGGTTCCTCTATATTCTTTTGGCTGTGAAAGGAAAGTGAAGAAGGCTTTGAGTAATTTAAGAGGTAAAAAATTGAACTTTACTTTGTAGTTTCTATTACTAATTTCAAGAATTTTTTCTTTTTATATGATAACAACTGCATGACTGCATCTGCATCATATTCCCTTGTTTCTATCATATTACTAGTAATTTGACTAATTTCTAGGATAGTTTACATGTACCTAAACACAGCATTGAAAAAAAAAAAAACATGTGACTTACTCATTATGTTTGATTCATGAACGTTAAATCTCTTTATTAGTTTTGTCTAACATTAATCATATTACTCGTCGTACATAAAGTTTTTTCACATATACAACAATCCTTATCGGATATATAGGGAGTCACTATATATAATAAACAAATTCGTTTGAATTGTTTGTATCATTAATCATATCACTCGTCGTACATAAAGTTTTTTCATATATACAACAATCCTTATCGGATATGTAGTGAGTCACTATATATAAACACATTCGTTTGAATTGTTTGTATCATCTCAAAATTAAGATTACCCAAACTAGTTGGCATCTGCATACAAATAAAGCAATAGTTATCACCCTACATATAGGGCATTCGGACCTATAATTTTCCTTTAACAACCAATTCAATTACTGCATTCTTCCTCAATTATATTTGTAGCTTAATCTTCTTTTCAATCCACTTATAGATATTAACATAAGTATGATATATGAACAGGAATATACTCGGTAAATGTTGATTATGCGCAACAGAAGGTGACAGTGTGGGGAATATGCAACAAATATGATGTGCTAGCTACTATCAAGAACAAGAGAAAAGATGCTCAGTTTTGGAATCCTGAAGACAACATTAAATTGGAAGAAACTGAAGATAATTACAGGATTAGCAGTAATATTAACAGTAATGCCATTTTAACTAAAGCCAAGACTTTTAGTTATAGAGCTCTGAGAAAAGTATTTAACAGATCTCAATCTTTCTAAACCAAGATAGATATTGTATTTAGATAGATTGAGCAATTTGATTAATCATTTCCTTCGAAAATTTATGAACTGAATTTCTCAATCTCTTGCCACTATCTAAATTTCATATCACCTGTTATATGAGTTTATGACATTAACATCTATACTGTGATATGTAAATAAATAAATTATACAGACCTAAAAATTTACCCCATGTCAGAAAAATGTAATATTCTTGTTTGCAATATTATTACTTGTATTTTTCTTAAATTTTTTAGTCTTTAATTTTAATGGTAAAATTTTCAATTATTATATCACATATGTTGAATTGACTCAGATTGGGATATGACAAATGCGACTTGTGTATTTGGATAACAACCTTGTGAAAGTATTATGAGAGGTTAAAAGTTGACCCATTATAAGTAAGTTAGAAGTAGCCAAACAAGAATTATTTGAGCATAGACATAAATTAGAAGTAGCCAAAAACCCAAATTACACACCCAACATTCTAAATAGATTAAACCATACACCACTAATATCAAGCAACAAGCGTAAAGCTATACAACAAAAACACCATAGTTATTTTCCAGCCAATAATAGAGATACTAAATGAGTCATAATATGAAAAGGATAGATAAAATAGAATAACCTGCAATGCAGTATGCAATAGCCTACGGCGTACAAGAATATAAAAAGGCATACATTTATCAGAAAATAATACGCTGCACTAGAAGCCTTGTAAATTCTTATTGAAACATCTTACGGTGCTATAAAACATGGTAGCTTAGATACAGAAGGGAATAGGTAACTAAGTGAAACAAAAAAACAGCACTATGGAACTAAACTACCTTTGAAGCTTAAAAACTATTTATATCATGTTTACTGTACAATGAGTAATCCTCTGTATTCCTAAATTTCAAGGATCTCCTGCCTATAATCCTAAATGGAAAACTGATACGATTGCAAATACAAATACAGAATCTAGCTTACCTAGAACAGTATACATTTCTCCTGACTGACGAAACATTTCTTGCTTCTTAATCCATGTCCACAATGTGCAAAACTGGAAATCTGACCGCGATGGAAAAAGGATTTGCATGAAATCCCAACCAATTATGCAAATGGACCCTTTGATGTCAAAGCATCTTAATTAACACAAGGCTACCTTACACAGCATAATTAACGAAAAAATTCTGGAAATGGCCACATTATGAGCTTTGCAAAGATATCGGTCTCCAAGAACTCTATATGAGCAGCTCGTCCTATGAAAGTATTTAGGTTTTTGCCATGAGAAGACATGTTGAAATTGACATCACATCGCATAAAAACTCGATGTTCCATGGAGGGAGATCGTATTTGGTCCAAGCAATTGTTCAACATTTCCACAAAAACTTGTCCCCTTTTGGAGAAGTCAGTAGAAGATGCAGGACACAATTCAATTCTTGCAGAATGATACGGTACATAACCATCCTGAAAGAGAACTAGTTAATGGAAAGTAGCACCACAATGGAGCACAAAGACAAAAAAAAAAAACAATAAACAAAAATATCCATATTAATAAAGCCCTTGAACCCTAATTATGCACAATGCAACATTACGGTTGAAAACTCAGGGTAGGAGAAAAAATGGAGATAAACTCTTAGTAAGTACGTCAACTACACAAGCATTAATAGAGGATTTTGTATGCGCACACGGGTATCTCACCCATGCAATTTATTTTCACCAAGATAGACATTTTGACCAACTGGCCACCACAGCTCACAGTGGAATTCTAGAATTTATATCCTGCCAATATAAAAAAGTACACTGTCGAAAATAATAAATCTATTGTTTCACATATGCAAACGTTCCAAATTTATACATTCACTCAACCAACAGGGATGTCTTTTACGACTTCTACAGTTTATGAGACATCTCTAAAATAATCTGTATCTGTAACCATTCTTATAAACAGAGCAAATCACAAACACAGCACGAATAAAAAGCTAAAAGGCCAAAATGTAAGTCAAATTTCAAAGATTACAATCCAAATGCCAACAGGACATAGAATATAATCCAGCAAGCTCTTCTGTCCATAACAGATTGAAGAGATGAGTACTAACCTGTGGTGAAGACAGTAAGATGATATTCTTAAACTTCTCCAATGTTTTTTGCTGAAAAAAAGAAAAAAAAAAGGTGAAGGCAAATCGACATACGTATGAATATCAAATTACATTCCAGACTAAAGTGACAACACCCAAGACACAATCCCAGAACAGCAGAGCTATAACCAACCATCATTTTCTTTTTGCTGAATATATTCACACGTATATAGAGAACAGATAGACCTCTGTCTTTAAATGTATGCTCCAAGTACATTTTACACATTTAGTTTACTTAGAATTGATGAGAAGGTAAAATAGAGAGAACAACTCATCATTGATGAGAGAGTAAAGTAACGGGACCACATGCTTATCAAGAAAAAATAGAATTCTCTTATGGACACCCAAAAAGAAAATGTAGCACACATATAAGGATGGAGAGACTGTATATTATAATTTCGTGCAGAGGCAATACCCAGCTTTGTTTTTGTCAATTTGTAAGTATATTTATCAATAAAATAATCAATTACTTGTGATAAAAGAAATGGATCAAAATATATGAAAAATTTAACAACCTAAGTTACTTGGACTCGGCTAGAAGAGTTAGATACAGATATGTGTCCAAGTGTCAAACAAGGCCTTTAATGATATTTTTTGCATGATATTACCCAAAAAAAAAATGTGTCTAAGCATCAAACTAATGTCGGTGTCAACTCTCAAGTATCCAACACGGGTACTTGAGGTGAAATGAAGAGTTGTAGTTAACGTAGATGCCAACTTTTACTTTTCTTTCCCCTTTGATTTCCAAAACTTTAGGGAGTAAAAAGAAAACAAAACTAAAGGGCAAGTAAGGAGGCATAAACGAAGTTTGCAAACAATTGTCCTCAAATCTTTATCCATCAAACTTTAATAAATTATATGCACTTAACATTTTGCATTTGTAAACAGTTCATCCCAAGTGTGACTTGTCATCACCAGCTCCAATGATGATGCAACATAAACAATATCCCCATTAATAAATAATTCGTAACCCCCTTAAAGCTTTACCAGTAAATCCAATAATGCATTAGGCATAACCACATTATAGATGGACAACCGACAACCCTACTAATGTATATTAGTAACACCATATTTATATTGCTGGTGACCCCAATTATGCACTGTCAGTAATTCCTCTGTTTCCAAAAACTTGCATCAGTTTAACCAGCATAATTGCCCGAACACAACTTAATCACTTACTATCTTTAAATATACATTTGTAAAAATTATAAAGCTACGGAAATATATCTAACATCTTACATAAAAACATACAATGTATAATTTTTCGTTTTAGTATAAACATGTGGTGAAAATTAGTATATGAATTGTGCAAAAATGAAAATTCAGAAATATTCTGGGAACAAAGGTTGTACATGAATGTGTATGTAAGGTAACATATGTTATGACTTATGATATACTTCCTCTGTTTTTTATTTAGTTGCAACACTTATAAGTTTTACACTATTCATAAATTTTACTTTAAATAGCTTTTTTTTTTTTTTTTTTTGGGGGGGGGGGGTGGGGGAGGGGGGGGGTGTTGGGGGGTAGTTAAAATTCAAGAATAAACATAGTTATGTGGGATTTTGTTAGATTCATCTTAATGTATAGTTTCAAAATATCAACTTCTTATATTTTTTGTTGGTTAGATATATATTGAAAAAAAGTCACGGTTGAAGCTATGTATTGCCATGCATGACAAGTAAAAATGTTGGAACTAAATAAAATAGAGGAAGTGTCAAACTTTGGCAAATTCTCTCAACTTCATATAAAGGGTGAGGTTCACCATTTACAAGTGATCCACATGATGTGAACTACCCTTTCATTAAAAATTTTACAAGTGTCGATGTCATATTTTAATGCACGGGTGTCAATTTTATAAGAGACATTTTTCAAGTACAACACTATCAGTATTATAAGTATATTGTGTCATTTGTTAAGCCAAGGATGGTAGTTCTACATTTGAGTGAATACATCTTCATAAGACTATCATTTTTTAGATTTTAAGGATCAACCATAAACTTCCTCCGTTCTCTTTTAAATTGCAACATTTTGACATTCATGCATGTCAATACATAACATTGACCGTTAATATTTTTAATTACGTGTTAGTAATAATTATAAACAATTAATATTTTAAAAATATACATCAAGACATTAAGTACACAAAAATCTTATACATGTACATAATAACAAATGTTGTATATATTAGTACAAAAAAGTAATAACATTAAAAGAGAAGTATCGACCCAAGTAAGTGTCATTTATGTGAACTTTAATTGAAACTTAAAAGGGGATGGAGGCAATTTTTTTCAGACATGACTAGAAGGGTATACCTGGCATAGCTTGAAGAAGAAGGTGTTCTGGAGATCTGGATCATCAGTCAACGTAAGTTGATGGATACACTGCGTGCTTTTGAGTTTCTTCAGAAGCCACAGCCCAGAATTAAATAGAGAATTTGAACTGTACAGATATCCTAAATGTGGACCAGATACAGAGACATAGGTGTGCAAATATTTGAGACAGGACTCCATTTTATTATCTGCAATACTAAAAGTAAATAATTAGGGTTAAGCAATAAGCATCAAAAGAAATCAGCCTAAGCTACAAGTTCGTACCAGCCAACGCAGCCCTTATGATGACATTTCCAATGGAATGCCCAACAAAACTAAGTTTGATTTCTGATACTCCCCCAGATCTAAAGGCTTTGTCCCTTTTCTTCGAAACAAAAGAGGCAACCTCTTTTGCTAGCCTCTTTCCCATTTCTCTGAAATCCCCAGAGGTCTTATCTTCATTTGCTTCAGACATAAGAAACTCTATCTTCGGATCTAATAAAAGCCATTGATTACGAACAAGTCGCAAATCTAAATGATGTCCCTGCATGGTTCCAGTGTACACAGATCATGAGACGTGAAAACTAATTTGTGCATCCAATTTTTATAAACTGATCAACAAGCAGTTACTTTTATACGTAGTACACTTCTATAACCATTTTGAAAGAAGCTTTAGAGGCATAATCCACCTCAAATAACCATTTAACTGATCCCAGGCCATGTTTTCCAAATGATTTCACTCAAACCCAAACTACCCACACCATATTCACTGGCACAAGAAAAAGTCAACTCCATACCCATTTGGTTTTTCCCAAATTTTCCCAAGATTGATAATATAGCCAACAGAGCTAGCAAAATTACTATACCAAGTTAAATGTAAAAAAAATGGATGACCTTACAACAGCTAAGGATCCTAGGAAAAGGTGATCACCAAAATATGCAATACAACAACAATCACAGGCACACCCAATTCAGAGCTAGCTGAAGAGCAAGTGGAAATGAAGATGTAGGCCGCCCACACAATAACTAGTCAGACACCCAAGTACACAAAACACAATAATACAATATCCTTCCAAAATAGACCTGGCTAATAAATACACACAAGGTATATTAACATGCCGATGTTCCTGAATTTCTTTTACACAACTGTGAATATGTACTTAGCTGCATTGAAGTTCATCCTTCTTCGAGTGGAAGATCAATTCCTAAATCCTATGAGGATAAAAGCATCTTAAGTTGCCTGCCATAGGGGTAGCGCATAATACTATAATAGCACAAGAAAAGTTTTTGATTCCCTGTCTTTCCGAAATGAACAAATAAAACACTTTTTTATCCATAATTTAGATGAGTAGCACTCAACTAACAACCACCCACCACACCTGAAAGGCTGGACCCTCTCCCCACAGCCTCACCCCCCACCCCAACCCCCAACACACACATACACACACACACACACACTTGAAGGATAAAAACAAATTAAAAAAGAAATCAGCAAAACTTGAAGATAAGCTATATGCTGCAAAAAAGTAGTCATTTCCATTTAAGACAACTAACTTGTGTCCAAAGAAAGTATACCTGAAATCCGTGCACAAAAACAACAAGTTTCAAAGAACGACCATTCGACAAGTGATTGCCACTGGATATCTTGTTCGGAAGTTCAGAAAGCAAGGTAGATGGGGTCATCTCAAAGTAAGAATTGCCACTAGATGAACGCCTTGGAGCATTGATGACACGTTCTACTATCACCACAGGCACACTTGAAGGATCTCCAAACATATGCAAGTCTTGAATTGAACGACTGTTGATCTGCAACATAACTCAAGATGTGAACAATTTTCACAAAAGCAAAGGAATTGCAGAAGCATACTAACGTTTTACAGAAACAACTCACTTTCATTTGCGCAATACTTCGTCGATGAAGCTCAGCACGAGTAGCTGCAATTTGAGCAGGCTGGAAAATAAAGAAAGTAAAAACAGTCTTAAATTCTACTTTAGACTGACTTACAGTATTATAAAAAGATCCACAAAACATGCATAAGTGGCATTTTATGAGCCAAAAAAAAAGGGGAAAAAAAGCAACACTCATAGGCACTCAGATCTGTTTACATCATCAGCCAGTTTCCGTAACACTGCTACTTTTCCACGTAGTCCACCACGGAGTGAAGCCTCATCACTTCTGCTGCTAATAAAATGGTGTGGCATCTCAACCTTTGAATGCACCATCCATATTGACCACTCCGTTCTTCGATCATTGGCCCATGACTCCCGCAGATATTCCATGACCTTAGTTTTGTTAGCCCTGGAATCAAATGAAATATCAATGTATTGCAAGGTACAGAACTAGCAATAACAAGTATTAGTTAGAGATCAGAGACCTTTAGAAGCAACAACATAATTCAAAACTATTATTCTGATCAATATCAAGGATGATTTACTCTCAATAAATTAAAAATCAAATCATATCTCATGATATGAGCAGTCTCCTACCTACAACTACAATTAGCTCGGGGTGTTGGAGGCAAGATAGGTGTTAGTTACCAATGCACCACCCATGTCCCACCAATAAACTCAAAAGTACACTATGGTCATAGTGACCAAGAGAAATGTCAGTGGCGCCCACCCGCAGGCAGAATACAGTTATATGCCTTCACCGATAACATACTCCTTACGCACATTAGCAAACATGTAGGGGTCACAACCTTATAAGAATATCATCCTCAGGACAAGGTTGTCCTGTTATGCACAGGTCAGGTATCATAAAATTATCTATATCTTGAGAGATCATTATTTAGCATGTTTGATTTATTATAGCTTAGATCCTGGGAAAAAAATTTCTTCAAGTTTCATAATGGGCTATTATATAGACATTTCCTTCAAGTGCAAGTCAATATACAAACAAATGAAAGCACATAATAAATGGTAGAATGACCGACTCTTCACCAAATCCATCAAGGATCTAGAGAGACTGCATAATAAAGAAAGTCTGCTCTGCTGATACCATTGAAAATTGCCAGGAAGCCAGTCGGTAAAAACACAAATATTAATGCAAATTAATAAATAGAAATTTTAACACTCTGAACAGAACATGACATTAAAAGCTAATTCTTATTGATAAAGAAAACACAACTGACCTGTGGAAATTCAGAAAAGTATTCCATAAGTAGTGAATTTGGTTTCCAATTGTATGAGCAAAATAGAGAAGACTGTCCCTAGACAGGGACTGGAGAGCTCCATTACTTCGAAAATCAAGAAAAAGGCTTGCCTTCTGTTCAAGAGCACAAAAATCTTTGTTAGACTTTAAGCAAGAATAATTATTTGCACAGGAATATCTGCACCTCATCTGAACTCTTTTTTGGAACTCCCATTAATACCACCATCCAACATAATTCCCGGTGAAGGGGTCAGGAAGGGGAAAAATATGTGGAGTTGTATATCTTAACTAGTTGTGAGATGACACTAGTAGATAAAGAGAGGCTAGCTCTGAACATGCAAATATCAACCCCCTTAGTTATCGGTCACTTAGAAAGCACAAACCTCGCTACTCTTTTGAGAATCGGACTTTTCTAGATTTTTAACATCAGAAGTAATTGAAGATACATCTGCTTGCAATAAAGAATCAAACAACTTTGTATCATCCATCTGGGAGATAAACTCAGTGAAATCAATGCTCTGATCAATTGCTTTCCCGAGCTTTTGTGCCTCTTCTAGAAGAATATCACGTGCAGTTAGCAATGATTTGACAAGCAGCACCTCTTTTACTACTTTACCAAAACCCTGACCAAGAGAAGGTTGAAAAAAAAAATATATGAACAACATTATTTAGTAGCTACTTGCTATACATACCTACTAGAGATTAAAATACAATGATGATAATTTGGGATAAAGTCTAGCAGATCTGACAAGATTCATGTTTTTGAAGATAAGTAGGAACAAAACTAGCAAGCTTTTGTCTTCCACAACTGGCCATTAATCATCCATACTACTCACACAAAATAATAAAAAAAAACAACAAACATTTAAAAATAAAATAAAATAAAAAATAAAAAAAAAATCTTTTCCATCCCACAAATAGCTATCAATATAAATGAAACAATTATAGCTGAATATCAAAAGTCAAGCAACAAAAGTACAAAATCAAAATTGAATAATAGCTGAATATCTAATTGGCCAATTTTCATACCACCATAGAGTTTACAAAAAAAAATCTGGTTTTCTTAGTTGAATAATAGCTGGAAATTTAATTGGCTATACACTCATTTACTTATTTATCTGCTAATGCAAGGAAATTAGTAGCAACAAGCAGCGTTGGCATCATCTTAACAACAGCAGCAAACCACTTCCAAAAATCAAAAGTTAAATACAGAAAAGAAGCCAAAAGTGAACATGTTGTGGATGAAGTAACAAAGCCACAACTACAGCTCCAGAGGAGAGGTTAAGAAAAAAATATACAAAATACAAAAAAACAAAAAAACAAAATCAAGCGCAAATCAATAAACTATTTGAGAGTATAAGAACACATACTTTAATTGATTTGTCAGGAACTTTTCCATCAATATTCTCAAATTTGAAAGACGTTCTGCAAAATTTCAATCTCTATCAGTGACTTTGATGTTGATGTAAAACATCTATCAATAGAAAGAGAACTGGAAGGAGTGACAAACCTGGGTACCTTCTTTTGGAGACTCTGTGCTACCGTCTTCAAGAGACTGATATGTATACTAACATCTACAAGCACAGAGTGGAAGGCATCAAAAAGGACAGGACAATAGGAATGTAGTCCCAAAAGAGCTTTCGGAGGAATCCTGAATTCATGGACAGCAGCAGCAGAGGTACTTAAGGAAGCCTGCAACTCTGACCTGCTCAAAACATACAATATTTGTAATATTATTACCAATGCAAACAGAAAACTGTTTAAGTTAATTAATGGCATAAAGGAAGGTCAATCAAATCTTATGAGCTCCATGTAAGCAAAGAGACATAATTTTTGTTAACTTACCCTTTCTCCAATAAAGCAGAATAGATAAGTTCAAATTTGATAATAACACCAGACTTGGCAGGAATCTACATAAAGAAAGAGAATAAGTAACAAACTGATAAAGTGATAATCATTCCAAAGGAATACAATTCATAATAGTATTAATCAACACAAAACAAAATGAGGCCAGTAATGCAACAATAAATTAGGCATAAAGAATTTAATCTTCTTGCAATTCTGCTGTACTGTGAAACAGTCATGTACGGAGTATAACATTAGATGGGATTTGTTTAAAAAAAAAAAAACACAACAATATTGTGGTCTTTTGCTATTTCCAAAGAGGATTTAACTTAATTTTCCTTAACACAGTGGATAACAGAAACTCAGCCTCGCCACCTGGTCCAAATTTTCCACAACAATGTCATCAGTTATACTACTCCCAAGTCCCACCATTCCCTATTAACATTATAAGTGACTAACTAAATTTTGCATAAAGATTAGAATTTACTCGTGTTTATAAATTATCTGTTAAATAAGGTTATGCACAACTTTTTAAAAAGTGTTAGCGAACGCATTGGTATGCAGAACTGACAAGTAATAGGGAAATAGCATATAGATACAAAAAAAAAAAAAAAAAAAAAAAAAAAAAAGAAAGGGATGAAGGGAATAGATGTTACTAAAATGATAGGATGATGGTATGGAGAGAGTATATCATGATCTCCTCTATGCAGATTACAAGCCTAACTCTAAACAGCTGAAGAATGGAGGGATAATTAACTTCTGAGGGATAGATAACTTCACAAGACTTATAGCTCCAGATCTTGTCATCATACATTAAGAAAAAGTCAGCTGTAATTCAAACAGTTTAGATACTCCCCAAACCCTTTAAGGTAACTCTTTGTTTTGTATGTTTAGGTTTGATAGCCACAAAAAAAAAGCTATTATGCAAACTAACCGTGTGGTACTGTACAAGATCTAGTCATGACACAAGTGATTAAAAAAAAGTTAAAACCACTGTTTAGTTACACTTTAACAGTAGTCATGTTCCCATGGGTGATCAAATAAGGTCATGGGTGCATTACTGTAAACTTAAGAAAGATGAAAATGACTCCTAAATGAGACAGTATTATTTTCTTGCTTGATTTTTACATACCTAAAATCAATGGAAACAGAGTTCTAAGTTCTTCTTGGATGCTTGCACTTCCCTATCAAAAACAATTTTCAACTTCTATTTGCAATTGACGAAAAATATTTATATTAATCTAACACAAGGGTTTATCAAAACATACATCAATAAATTGCCCAAATCAAAGATGTATCAAGAAATTGACACAAAAATTAAGATGCATCAAGAATTGACACAAAATTTAGAAGGGAGGTTTTTTTTCTACTTAGCTCGTTAAAAAAAAAAAAAAAAAAAAAAAAAAAAAAAAAAAAAAAGGGTATAAGTTAAGCAAAACAAGTCTTTTTTAATCAATAAAAGGTCGAGGAGAATAGAGCCAGGGGGCTTTGACCAGTAAAGAGGGATGAACAAAATGGAAGCACTTTTGTCACCAATGGACTGCTGGCAACATCGTTGATTGAAAAGCCAATGGCCAGTGAAAAAGCAGGAGTGTCCTCATGAGGAGAAAGATAAGCCGGGGAAGGGAAATAAGCAAACAGGAAGAGAGTTTTTTTTAATGCTAATTATATTGTCTTTAAACAGTTTTTAAGTCAATAATGTCACAGTCAGCTTATGCAAAGTTCTTGTACTTCTGCATGATAATTTTGTACTGGGTTACCAAATATTTTCGACAAAACTGAGAGTGATCATATAGAACTTCCATAAAATAAAAAGACCTTCACAAACACCACAAGGAAGAGCTCCAAATATACCTCACGATTTGAAAGAGAGAGATTAAAAGCAACCATGACCGAGAGAGGAACATCTTGTCTTGCATATCTAATCTTAAAAGGTTGAGTTGAGAAACTATTATCAGAATCATCAATTCTCCAAACTCCATAGCTATCATCAGAACCCATGCTAGGAGCTGCAGGACAGCAGAAAGACATAGCAAAAATAAGCATAAAAAGCATTGGTTATATCTGTTTGAATCATCAAAACAGCTACAGCGACTGAGACCAAAAAATTAGGGGCGTAAAATAGAGGACCCAAGATAGGAGAGCCTATGTAACTCATATTCTTTATTTCACCTTGTATACCCAGGTAGGATCCTCAACACTCCAACATGGAAATGGGAACTTGACACTTACACTTCACTTAAATTCAAGAACATGGAAATGCTTCATGAAAAAGCCCAGTTTAAGAATCGCACAAAAAACCATTGTGGCTTAAATATGAATAACTATACTAAAAAGTTATCTATAACATGCCTAAGCTTTTATTAAAAACCTAATAAAAGAATGCTAGAAAGAATGAAAGATCAGAAAGCAGCAGATTAAGCTGAGAATCTTCAATTATCTACATCTACAATTCTTCAAATTGAATATAGATTAAGGCATTAAATCTAATAAGGCATTAAGGTATTCAAAAGTGTATGGTAGATTAGATTAAATTGAGTATTTATATCAGCAAATAAGACATTCACATTATACCACTTCCCTATTGATTGTAGTCAAACCCCCTTCTTGCCAATCTTCTCTAGCACTCTGCTTCTTTTAAAACAGAAATGAACAAGGACCTAAAAGATACAAGGTTGGGAGTCTTATACTCTTCAATTCAGGATTTCAGGAATTTAACATCATTAATTTATATTTTTTATGCTAAATTATGACTCATTGAAGATATAAAATAATTTTTTTCCTTTATTAGGCAAATGCAATCTATTTAGGGAGGAGGGGGCAAAAAGAACTACTATAGTTTTCTTAAGATATTAGAATACATTTCCTTTCCCAGTTTTTCGTATAAGACTTACTAAAATACTAATTTAGTCTACAGAATTCAAAAGAGCTGCCTTTTTTTCTATAGGAAATTTTTATTAGTTTAAGCCTGTAAGGAGACCATACCCTATTTCTATGAACTCTTAACAAACAACTCTAACATGCAACAGTAAAACAATAATCTAAATTTTTTTTATCACCTTGATATTCCATTTCTTTCAAGCATGTCAATTAAGCTATGTAAGCCAAAATCCTTTTTATCCTTCGCCACTACATTTAAAGGTATTTATTATGTTACACCTTAATCAAGGTAAATTAAGATAAGCATAGTCCACTTTCCATCGCACATAACAGGGGAGGAAAAACTCAATCTCTCACTCAAGGAAACTAAGAAAATGGAAGTAAGAATGAGAAGCAACTGACAATGCTGGCAGCATATAGATGAGCGGGATGAAAGGCCAGCAAGGCTAATATCTGCAAAACCTTCAATTCCAAAATGGTATTTCAAGGCTTTAACAGGCAGCTGAAGCCCCCTGAGTTCCTGAGTCTTCTTCAAACAATGTTAAGAGCTCAACTCTTTTCACTTAAAACCTATATGACAGGCTTCCCTGACCCTCTAATCAACATTTGTACTTTGATATTCTTCCAAGCATGATTTTATATTGAACTTGTCAGGAGAAGAAGAAGGGAGAATGGAAACAGTGAAAACAGAGAAGGGAAAAAAGAGAGAAAACAATTCTGGGTTGGAAATTTTGTATTTGTTCATTACTTGATTGAGTATGAGAGCACGTACCAATTACAAAAATGGCTTCACAATAAACAAAAGTTATCTATCCTAGCTTCATTTAACCGTCACAAACAACTACAGAAATTCTCCTATTTTTCCAATGAGCATAAAGCAAAAATGAAAGCATGTTATCAAAAAAAGTACCTTCATATTGCACAACTCTTGAGGGGATACCAACATAAGTACCATCCCCATCCTCCCACTTCAAAGAAATCTTGATTTGGTACCATCTACACAAAGAAGCAACCATTACATTAAAAAGCAATGCAAGCATGGCTGAGATAAAAACAGCAGCTAATCTAAACTAACAAAATATAATTCAGAAAAGGCTATTGCCGTTACTTGGGAATCCTACAATAATTTTCAGCAGAATCAATGTGTAGAGGAAGCAAATAAATAAGATCATGGAAACTTACCCTTGCTGGAAAAGATCAAGATTGTGAAATCTGTGAAGGTAAATAGCAACCTCGTGAAAAGTATCCAACATAGCTGGTCTAAATGGTTTAACCTCCGCATCGGTCAATCTCTTCGCCGTTAAATTTCTCTGAGTCAAATCAATTAACCATCTGAGACGACGAAGCATAACCTACTTCCCAGAGACAACTTACACAAACTTGCATCCCTCCCTTCCAAAACAAATTAAATCAAAAGTCTTTAATGTCATGCTCATATGCGGAATCAAGAGAGCCAAACATAAACAGAAGAATAAGAGAGAACTAAAAACTACAGAGTGGAAAATGAGCTCATTGTCTTTGCTTGTTCTACAGGAACACCAGCAAAAGGCCAAAAAGCCATCTAAGATAAAGCTGAAGGCTTCTGCAACAAGCACATAAATGATACATCCAATATCAGACAGCACTTGCTAGATTTTACTGAAAAGAACTTCTTAAGGTAATTGGTATTGCATGAACCCCAATTCAATGTATATAGTGAGCTATCCTTCTCATTTACAGATTCTTACACACATCTCAATATACGACATTTTTCTAGATAAAGCTATAGAGTCAACATTAGCCGACCCGAAATCATTTTGGGACTAAGGTTCTGTTGTTGTTGTTGTTGTAGCTATAGAGTCAACATACTAGCAGTCCAGCGCGCACACACACAGCCCCTCCCACACCTCATCCAAATTATAAAAAAAGTAAGTTGGTCAAGAAAAATTGATGAATGGGTGAAGGCAATGAGACTTACTCATTCCACTTCAATGAGAGACAACCTTCATTTTTTCTAATATAGTGGTGACTTATTACTTCCTATAAAAATACCTTTTTATGTTTTAGTCAAGGTAGTTCGATAAAGTCTGTTAAAATTCGCTCATCCATAAAAGGATAATACTGAACCCTTCCAATTTCATTAGATATCAGTTTGTCCTCCAAAATCCAAATCAAGGAAAGATACATAGATCATTTATAAACTTCCTTTTCAGTAACCATCAAAACTACCTAGAACCGGAAATGTTCACCTGTTCGGATACTTTGTCACCTATACCTTTAACATACATTGCCATTAAAAGGTTTCCTTCCTCTAAAAGACCATCCTTTCTTAAAAAGGACAAGTAAAAGTGCCAGTATATTGTTCAATTGACTACTTTGTCCAATTTAACCCGCTCAATCATCAACAATCCAACGTCATTCCCAAAAAATTTCCATATTTTGCATCAAACAGACTACATCTAATTTATACTTAAAAATTCACAATTTTTTTCTTTTTTCTGCTATTTTCACCTTATTCAGCATTTGAATCTCACATACAGCCAAAAAAAACACAAAATACAATCAATCATAATGTAACAATAATACCAAAAAAAAATGCATGAAATTAATTGTAAAAATGAATAAAAGAGCTTACATAGATGAACTCCTTCGACTAAATATCTCTCTCTTTTTGCAGAATCTATACCAATAAACTGAAATTCAACCACACAAAAAAAATCGAAACCTATAAAACCCTAATATTCTGAAAAAAAAAATCAATATCCAGAGATCGCCAAAAAATTGCGAAGCTGAATGATGATCAGACGACGGAGATGAGATCGGGAGATGAAAAATGGCCGGCAACACAGCCGGAAGAAAGATCCGGTCGCCGGCGAATATTCTCTCTCCTCGATCTCCGGAATTTGGGGGCGGTGAAAAATTTAGGGGAAAGAGAAATTTATGTTTGTTTGGAAAAATGGAAAACAAATACTAGTTGTAGTAGTAATAGAGAAAAATATTTAATGTAACACAGCCAAACACAGCTTTAAACCACCTTTGTATGTCTCTCAGCTTTGTTTCACCTGGAGGAATCCATAAATAGAACTACCAAGTTGGACCAACCAACAAAAAATTAATTTATGGAAAGTTTATGCTATAAAGTTTTGAGGAAATATTAATGAATGTGTGAGTAGGGTACTTGATTTATGAGAAATGTATAGTTAGATTTATGGTACAAATGTATGTTTGATTAATTGTGGGGTAGCAATGTAGGATCATATTCTTGGATACTTTTTATGATGGTTGGTTTAGAACAAAATGAAAGGCTTGATTTTATGACTAGATGTACTTTTTTTGTTTAAAGTATGGATGATGATTAACTAGCTTGGTGTTTAAGCAACAAATTAAAATCAAGTACTACGTAGGGAAGGGACTTGTTTATGGTGCATATTAAAGTTTGATTGATAGGGCTAGTTTAGAACTCCCCTTACGATTTTAAGGTAATGCGGTCCAATTTAAGCATTTATTTTGTGTTTTTTGTAATTATACATTTATACCTCGCCCTCAGTCCCCTCACCCCTTCTCTGTTTGGGGGCAACTAGTTGAAGAAGCTGTGATAGGTTGAGGTTCATTTAGGATCTTTATAACCATGTAAGAGAAGTTAACATACATTAGAATATATAATAAATAAAATAAAAGTAAGAAAAATCATAAATACTAGTAAGAATAACGCTAGTGATTAAATTATATTGTCAATATGGACGATGTACTCATACGACATTTTGGTAAACTATTTTTCAACTAAATTATATTTTCATCCTTAAAAAAAATAAATTATTTCACAGTTTTGTAATTTAATTTTAACAGAGCAAATTGAATTAGCTTAAGACCACTCTCAATGGTGAGCAAAAAAAATGCTCACCCACTCTCTCTCTACCCACTTTCTCTCTCAACAAATCAATTTTGCTCATGGGCAAATTTTTTTCATATTTCCTCTCCCAATGGTGAGCAAAAAAAATGCTAACCCACCACTATCTCTCTCTTACTTTTTCAATACCCCACCATAACTTTCTCTCTCCTACACAACACTTCTTTATTTATTTATTTCATTTATATTTTAACATTACTCCAAATAAATAAAAACTAGTTTAATTATGTGTAACTTATTTTTTTTTATTTTTTTCTTTTTTATCGTTAAAAATTATCGTAAAATTATTTATGTTATTATAAATAATTGTAAAAAAAAGCTCATAATTTTTTATTTATTTTAAAAGCGGTACAATATTAGAGAACAATTAATTTGCAACGTCATGCGCAATTAAACTTAGGAAATAAAAAAAAACACAACAACTACATCGTCTAATTTCTCCCTAATTATGGGGCCCGTATCGTTGCCAAATATGTTCGACTAAATCACGTTTCAGAGATAGATGAATTTCTCTGTCACGGAGGGAAGCTTTTCGCTGTAGAAATGCGTTGAAGTCAAAGTTGGTAGGTCGGCCTACGTTGAATTCAAACGGTGGCGTTGTAGATGTTGATGCTGGTGTTGATTCTTGTTGATCTTCTTCGTAGAAGGCTCTTAGAACTTCGGCTCGAGTGTAGTTGTGGCGCTCATCTTCAACAATCACGTTGTGCATAATGATACATGCTTTCATTATATCTCGCAGTATGTCCTCATCGTACGCCAGTGACGGTTTTCGTATTATTGCAAATCGAGCTTGCAAAACACCGAATGCTCTTTCAACGTCTTTTCGAGCAGCAGCCTGGTGGTCAGCGAACAATTTATCTTTTTGAAGTTGAGGGGTTGTGATACCCTGAACAAAAGTTGCCCACTTCGGATAAATACCGTCGGCTAAGTAATATGCCATGTTGTATTCATGGCCGTTAACGGTAAAATTTACCGGAGGAGCTCGACCATGCAGAACCTCATCGAACACTGGGGAACGGTATAAGACATTTAGGTCATTACAAGATCCAGGAATCCCAAAGAAGGAATGCCATATCCATAAATCCTGATCTGCAACGGCTTCCAGTATTAGCGTTGCTTTCTTGTTCCTACCGGCGTACTGCGCTTTCCATGCCGTTGGACAGTTCTTCCATTCCCAATGCATGCAATCAATGCTGCCTATCATGCCTGGAAATCCACGCAGTTCATTTTGATGCATAATTCTGGCCAATTCAGCAGTTGTAGGGTTTCGCATGTACTCGGTTCCGAACTGATTAATGACCCCGGTACAAAAACGTTGAAGAGCAACTCGAGCAGTTGACTCACTGATCCGAACGTATTCATCCACGACGTCCGCAGCCATGCCGTAGCCTAACATTCTTATCGCTGCTGTACATTTTTGCAGAGGTGATAAACCTAACCTTCCAGCTGCATCCCTACGCTGCTGGAAGTACACATCACCTTCAACGACCTTGTTCATTATACGTACAAACAAAGGTCGTTGCATACGAAATCTTCTTCTAAATTGGGTGGTGTTGTACACGGGATTATCGGAAAAGTAATCATTAAACAACCTGGCATGTCCAATTTCCCTATCTCTTCTATTCGTACCCCCTCTAGGTTTTTTTGAAGAGTGTTGGGATTGTGTTTGGGGCATGAGGACAGATGGGGGTTGGTATGTGAAGAGTTCATCAACAAGTTGGTCATATTCTTCAGTATTTGAAGAAGATGAGCTTGAACTTGAGCTTGATGATGGTCTAGAATACATCTCGTATTACTATTGTTATTTGATGAAGGGGTGTGGTTGTGGATATGTGCCATGTCTACTATATATAGCAAAAATATCAAATGAATATGTGGTTACAAATCTGATTGACCACACCAAGTACAGGAATTAAATTTTCAACCACGGAATAGGTATACTATGCTAGTTGACAGTGACAAGTCTTGAGTGCAATAATGTCGGTATCAATGACACAAAGGTAAAGCATTCTGATAAAGTGAAATCAGAAAAATGTGACTACACAATGACAAAGATTTATTGTAATTATGTCGGTATCAATGACACAAAGGTAAAGCATTCTGATAAAGTGAAATCAGAAAAATGTGACTACACAATGACGAAGATTTATTGTAATTATGTCGGTATGGAAACTTAAATCAACTTGTTTTATTAAGTTAATACATCTATAATTTTTTTTTCAATAAAATCACATATATACTAATTTTATTAAGTTAATACATTTATATATAGCAACAAAAATTTACCATTAATTAATTGCAACAACAAATTCAGAAATTTATGGACAAAATATAAACAACTTTCTTAATAATTACATATTGCAAATATAATTACATGGCCTAAAATATTTTTTTTTTAAAAAAAAATCACATATAATATACTACTTATATTTAACTGATTTTAAAAATTAAATAATTTTTTTTTTACCTCAATATGGATGAATTGCAATAGCAATATTCTTCTACAAAATTAAAATACTTTTAAGAAAATTAAAATTTGGAGGATTTTAAGGTGTTTATGAAATTGTATCAAAATATATCAAAATGCATGTCTATTTATAGAGAATTTAATTTTATGACCGTTGGTAATTTTTTTTTTTTTTTTTACAAAATATATTTTTCTGAAAATGGGAAATACATAAATAACCGTTGTAAAACGGCTAGTATTTTCTGATTGGTTGTCTTGCTGCCAGCTGCCACGTGTCGCGTCCTCATTCGCCAGCGAACTGCACGCGTCAGCTTCCCTTTTTTTTTTTTTTTTTTTTTTTTTTCTGATACTCAAAACGACGCGTTTTGAGGCGCGCCTTTGAGGCAGCTTCATCAAAACGCGTCGTTTTGATGTTAGAGTCAACTTTTTTTTTTTTATTTTTCTGACGCGTGTGGGGCCCACTTGCAACACTGTTCATGGCAAAAAATGCTCAACTTTTGAGCTTTTTAATAAATGCTCATGAGCATTTTTACCTATTTTTCATTTTACTCACCATTATGAGTTGTGAGCATTTTTTTTCCTCACAAAAAATGTTCATGAGCTAAAAAAACTCTCACCATTGAGAGTGCTCTAACAATCACAAAAGTAAGCAAAATGAATGAGCCTAAATAATTAATCATTAATGAGATGGCAGATTGGCAGAGTGATGAGTGATGAGTGATTTGACTGGGAATCATGGGATCGTATAGGCTCAACTTCCACACGCTACAAGCCTACAACCAAACTTTTGGACTTGATTATGTGAGTATGATGCAATATTTGGGCCGGGGCACTGGGCCCATCTTATGCGTTCTTCCATTAAGTTGTTTACTATTTGCCCAGCCCATTATATAATGATGACGCAAATATTTATACGAGTGTATTTATTTATTATTTTTTATTGGGTGGGAGTGTATTATTCATTTATTCTCCATCAGACTAAATAAAATAAGAAAATTAGAAAAGGAAAAAAATATATACTTCCTCCGTGTTAAATTAGATAACACAGTTTGACTTTGTACACTATCACATAACTTACTTTGACTTTGTTTTTTGTGTTAAGAAAAAATGTAGTCATGTGGGGTCTTATAGATTCATCTCAACATCTATTTTTTAAAAATCAATGTTTATAATTTTTGCTAATATGTAATCAAAAATATTTGCATTAGAAAGTATGAATTGGTAAACGTGCCTAAATGAAATATGTCATCTAATATGAAAAGGGGGAAGTAATAGATAAGGGTATAATGAAATCGCTAACCCATTCATAAATAGCAACTTATCTTATTTTTCTTTATTACTACACAAATTAGGACACAGTTTTGCGAGCGAGAAGACGTTCCTAACTTGTATATCACTTTAGAAAAAAAAAAATTACGAGATCAACTTAACTGGAGGCTTTAATTAATGGTTAAAACTTAAGATTGGTTTATATACTCTATTACGTCGTCTTATAAAAGCGTCCGTTGAAAGGAATTGAACATTTTAAGAGAACATTATTTGTGAGCTGAGTTTAGCAAAAAAATACTTATACTGATTCTTAAAATAAATAGCTTAGCTTGCGCCATTAAGGATGACATTCAAAAATTTAGTTTATCGACATTTTTCTCTTAACTTTTTAACAAATTTCAAGAGCAATATATATCTTTTTAACAAATTTGTATCATATCATATTTTCAACTTAACTTATAGTCTCTGACTTTTCTCACATGAATAATGTTGCTTTGTAATGGTCCAATGTAATTTGATCTAAAATTTATTATATTTTATTTCAGGTCTTCACCTATATTTGATTGTATTTGTAAGCTAAATATCATCAAGTAAGGTCTAATGTAAGCCAATAATATAAGATTAAACATTATCAAATGAGGTTATTAACTTATCTAGCTAATTACTCGACATTGCGTAGCTTTACTATGAGTACGTTTGGCGTAAATCATCAATTTTACCTTCTAGATTTCCCTCGATAAACCTCTTAATCAACTTCCAAATTTCACTGTAAAAAATTTAATGGCTTAATTTCATTATCTTTTCCAAATTTCCCTCGATAAAATATTGTCACATCTAATGATCTAAATGTTCGACCAATGAACTAGAGCATGGTAAGTTCATCCAATGCAAAAAGATAAACTTGAGAAAATTTTGACGCTTTACAAGTGTATACTAATATCAAAATGCCACGTACTCCAATAAAGATGAGACGAGACTTTTGTGGAAGCAAAGGAAAAACGTGAATTGAAGAATTGATAATGACCTAACCCCTAACGTCGTAACGCGTAAGTAAAATGCAAACTATACACGAGTAACACGACTAATACAAGTAATACTTGTGCACTAGTACGGGATATATTTTTTACGGGAAATAAAAAATAAAAAAAATATTGAGAGGGTGTGTTAAGAAATTATTTAAAAGTACTGTAATAACAATAAATTTTTTTTGACAAGAGGTACAATCAAAATTGACCGTATATCTTGTAAATAATTTATAATTTTTTCTTAAAAAGATTCTAATTAAGAACATCAAATTAAAAACGAGGGAGTATTTTTAAGAAAGTGATGACGGACCCTTTACAATTTACAAATCCGCAAGTATGATAAATTGATGATTAGCAATGCAAAATTACGAAGAAAAAAAAAAAGTCAATACATTTGGCGGTTTATCAAACCATCAACGACATTATAATAAAGCCTTTTTAAAAGGTGTCTTTTTTGTGAATATTGTGATAGATGTATGATGTATCTAGTTAATCAACCTAATACTCAATTAAGATATTCTCTCACTTTAGCTAATCTGCTAATCCTAAATGAGTCGTTCTAATAAGACTTCTAATATTCTTCATTTTTTATATGAAATTTCATAGAACGTCCTTTTTATACAATCTTCATTTTTGGTTTGATTGCCTTAGAATATTGCGGATGGATCGGATAAAGCAAAATAAAAAGTCTTTGATTAACAAAAAAGAAATTATTTTATACATTGAAAATGACATGTATTATTGAAACAGAAAATATCATAAGAAAACTTAATTTTTTTGGATGTAGTGGAGTACTTGATGTACATGACGAATTAGACCAAGAGACATACAACAACTTATGTTGATTAAATATCTTCATATTCTCCGCAATTTAACTAATGAATATCACACTCGTGTATATCTCTAAATCTCTAAATTTATACGCGTAGTTTTAATTTAATCAACAAAATTATGATAATTATATTACTTTCTCTAAATTGGATTGAAAATCTTGACAATCTATGTTGAATTGATTATATCAATCAATTATTATTAAAAGAGAGTTGTTAAAGAGAGTTAGAGACCAAATCGAGTAATTTACAATATTATATATTTTTTGTTTTGAAGAAAAGTTTACAATATTATATTTAATTATACTCATATGTTACGCGTCAATTTATCAAAATCAAAAAATAAAAAAGGTTAGCAATGACAATGAAAGTTGTTTTTCCAAAATTTGACCATATCTTATGAAGTGTATATAAATTCATGTGTGTGTATGACATTTTGGCCCAGAAAAATAAAGCCCCACAAATTTTCTCCACCAAACTCACATTGATTTGGCAAGCTACCCTCTCTTGCTTATTACATATTGCAAAGAAGAAAGAAAAACAAGAACAAAAAATTTGAAAGATGATGAAGTTGGGTGTTGTTGCTGAGCTCCTTGAACAATACAGGGCTGTTCTTGCAAGGATGAGGCTTGAGTTGGATGCTAGAAGACGGTTGTCGCCCTCGTCTTCGTCTTCGTCTTCGTCGTCTTCTTCTTCTCCGTCTTCTTCATCATGGTCTCCCATTTCTGAAGGCTCACCTTCTTTCATTGTTTATTTTTGATGATGAAATAACTAAGAATGGTTTTTTTTCATCTCTTAAGGTTATGTTTATTTAGTTGTTGGTTCATTTTTTATTGTTTGAATTATTCATTCATTTATTTCTTAATATGATACAATAAGTATTGTACTTGATCAAATTATCGATCAAAGATTTAGAGGTATACTTGTTCAAATTCTTTTTATTGGAATGATTTATGAAAACATTTACAGTACTTTATTTTAAAATAAGGTTAGGATCCTCTCATGAAGATTAGTATTAACACATTAATTATGAGTTTACGTATAGTTTTGATGCTAACTTGCTAAGAATAGCTAAGGTGTTTTTGATTGGTATGTTATCTCGTTGGTATTGTATGTGGTCAAATTCTCTTGCAAATTGTAGATTATTGTCACTTGTTCTTCATTATGATTAACGTCACTTTATATTTTTTTTATTTTTTCCGTTGCCAATTCTTCACTTAGACTCTTATGCTATTGAAGAGTGCATGTATTTAAGAACTGAAGAAGTCTCGAGTAGAGTAAGCAGTAAGACCACGTCATTTTGAACAAGTAATCGCTCCGTTCCTAAATAATAAAAGTATACTACGATTTTAAGGATTTGAGTATACCTTTAATTGCTCTTGGTTTTTTTTATGATTTGAATTAAAGTAATCCAACAAGTAACAAAATTTGCTTGAGGGACTTAACTTGTGTTTTGGGGAGCCAAAATTACACACCTCCCTTTCAATAACTTGAGTGATTGGAGTAGATCAACAATTTCCAACAATTAAATCTAGATAATGACAAATCAATACTTATCATTAGTAAACAGATAAGTTTACTCTTAGTAGAAGTAGCCAAAACATTATTATTAACTCATTGAATATCCTTATGAAGTACTCAATCCCATTAACTTTTAGTGATGTTACAAATCATTAGCCCAATACATTAGACAGGACAATAATTTTCCTTGGATTTGAAGTGCACTTTAATGTAGATACAATGTGTGGTAAGAAGGCAGTCCATGTGACATTGCTGTTTTCCAAAATATTGTGGTAATGAACATCTTCATTCTCCTCTAGGCCAACTTTACATTAATGTTGCATGACATACATCTAATGGTGGGGACGACAAGCAGGGCCAAGCCCTGTTTGACATTGTCCCCGTAATCGACTTATCATTTGTGCCTTCATATGCCTTTGCTTCGGATTCTTCAACCGATGCATTATTCAAACTCCTTTGCATAACTTGCTAGATTGTTTCAGATTATTAGCAGTTTAATGTACTGACTATCGCTCTGCCTCTGGCCTAGATTCGCCGTACAACAGTGCCTGCCTTGCAATAAAACAGGTTAGATTCAAATAAGATTATAAGTTGACAGAGAGCTTTAAAAGCAAATAAGAAGTTGAAATGATGATACAGTCATACAGTACTAGTTTTGTGCGTCTAATTACACAATCAACTCGTTTACAAAAATATAACTCCAGAAGTTCAATTGATTATTCAGTAACATCGTGTGTCTTATACAATCACACTCGTTCAAAAAAGAGTAACTCCCGTAGAAAAGAGGTAAACAAAGAAAATCAAAAGATGGAAAACCAAAAAAGAAAAATTATCTGCTTCAAATGAAACTAGAAGCAGATATGAGAGAAAATATTCATATAGATCATCATATTGAAGCCTCTGACTTGGGTGTAATGAGGAGCTAAACAGGATATATAGTACAATGTACAGGAAGCATTCTTCAGTCATCAACTTCAGCCTTGATCTCCTTCTGGAGGTCCTCCTTATACTCCTCAAATGTTCCAGGAAACGTTCTCACTGTCCCATTATCGACGATCCAGATCTGACTCTTCTCTTCATCCTCACAAACACGTGAAATCAGCCGTGAATCATGACTAACCAACACAACACCCCCGGTGAACTCATCTAGTGCATCTGCAAGTGCATCAATACTCTGCATATCCAAGTGATTTGTGGGTTCATCTAACAGCAGTATATGGGGCTTTGACATTGAAATGGAAGTAAAAACCACCCGGGATTTTTGGCCTCCCGATAATTTCGCAATTGGGGTAAGGTGGTTATGACTAGGAAGCCCGAATTTCCCAAGCTTAGCACGGACAGCTTCTTGCTTGCTCATCCCTTCTTGATCGGGGTGTAAACGGAGGAGATATTGAACAGGGTTTTCATCCATGGTTAAAAGATCAACAAAGTGCTGCGAATACCTTCCTATCCTCAGTTTCTGGCTCCTCCTGGCCTCGCCTTCAGTTGGGCTCAAATCACCAGCCAAAAGATTGAGCAGGGTAGATTTGCCAGCACCATTGGGCCCCACAATAGCAACACGGGTACCCATATCAATACCAACATCAACATCTGAAAGCCTGAAATCAGGTCGATTAGGGTAGCTAAAACTGACTTCAATGAGCTGAAGGAGTGGAGGAGTGAGCTCGGTGGGTTCTGGGAAGTGAAACTCCACTGTGTAATCTCTCCATTTGCTTGGGGCTTCTTGCACTGCTTCATCTTCATCCACTTTTCCTTTCGATTTTTTCTTGGATACTTCTTTTGCTGCTGCAAACTTTGCTCTCTCCTTCACTTTCTGCTGCTGAGCCTGGTTTCCTGATCTTTTAGCGGCTTTCAATTGCTTTTCATATACTTCATACTTTTTATTCATCTCTTTTCGACGCTGTTCATATCCACTCTCAAAATCATCGAAATTACCCCTGTATAATTGAAGCTTCATATCATGAAGATGTATAATCTCATTACAGACAGTGTTGAGGAAATCGCGATCATGGGAAACAACAATGAGAGTTTTTTTCCACCGGCATAAATACTCTTCTAACCAAAGAACTGCTCTAAGGTCGAGATGGTTGGTTGGTTCATCGAGCAACAAAAGAGTAGGTTGCATAAATAGTGCCCTAGCTAGTGAGATCCTCATTCTCCATCCTCCGCTGAATGACTTGGTAGGACGCTCTTGCATATCCTTTGTGAACCCTAAACCAGCTAAAATTTTAGATGCCTGAGCCTCAGCAGCATCTGCATCCAACAAATTCAGCTGCTCATATAATTCAGCAAGTCTCTCTCCTGCATCATCCCCACCATCATCATCATTAGCACCATCCTCTGCAGAAGAAACATTCTGCAAAGATGCAGCCTCTTTCCTGAGTCTCACCAATTCTTCATTGGCTGAAACAACTGCTTCAAGTGCTGATCTATCATCACCAATTATCTCTTGTTCTACCAGTAAAACATCTATATTTTTAGGTACTGGAACCTTTCTCCACGCCAAAAGCTTCAAAAGGGTAGATTTCCCCATCCCATTTGGTCCAATCAAACCATACCTCTTTCCATGAGAAATTTTTATTGATGTATTCTTTAGGAGTTCTTTTCCTCGAGCTGAGACTGAAAAGTTCTCTATTGTAATATCTTTGATATTAGCATCAGCATCATCTCCGCCCTCAAGGACAGAAGCCCGGCTTCCAATGACAACAGTGAATGCATCACGATCATCCTTCAAGGCCTCTCTTTTTGCCAGCTCAGCAGCTTGAACAGCCATCATTTCTTTTTTCTCTCGTTTCTTCAGCTCTTTATCAGTTATAGAAGCTTCAACCAACTTGGATTCTGGCTTCTGCAGCAAAGAGCTTTGTTTCTCTTCTTCTGAGTCATAGTCATCATCGTCATCTGATGGAGGAAGATCTATATCATCAGTATAAGATGAGACTTTTGGAGGGGCTTTTGACTTGGGTTTACTCGACACAGATGCTTTTTTTGATTTGTCTGGCTTTTCATCCATGCTAGCAAGCATGGCTGAAACAGAAAACTTCTCTTTCTTCCCCTCTTTGGATTGACCTTTCGAAGTGGTTCCGACATCATCAGATTTTTTCTTTCCCATTGAAACGATAACTGCAACAAGAAACGGCCAGTCATTCACTATTTGCATGATACCGACCCTTAGTTTAAAGACTTACAATCATAACTTATAAACCTAAAGGGCACTTCAGATCCTAGTCATTGCACATTCAGAAGCTACACTGCTACATCACCAACTCTCTAAATTTTTTAAATCTTAACTCTATACAATTATACTGCACTGAGCTAATCTTCCTCAACCATGTCAAAAATCAATATAGCTCGTGAGTCAAGGCATATGTTTTGCTAAGGCATACTTCCTCCGTTACTTAATACTAGCAACACATACATTTTCACAATTGCCAATTCAAAATTTCAACTATGAATATCTTTAATTTTCAGCAATTAAAAGCTGTAAAAAGTTGATATTTAAAAATATTCGCCGAATCAACTATAACAAGAACCCACCTGGCTGAATTATCATATTTTTTCTTTCCCATCAAAACGATAACTCAACAAGACAAATGGCTAGTCATTCACTATTTGTACAAATGATTTCTTGTTCTCTACAAACAAAAAAAAAAAAAAACAAAGGATATTGAAACACACAATCCTGCCGTGGTACTAAGCCAGAATTTCCTCTAATATACCTAATAACAACATCCCAATCCTCAAAACAACATACAAACACAAATTTATTTGAGATGCCAATCCTTAGTTTGAAGACTTACAGTCTCAAAAGATAAACCTAAAGGAGTAAAGGGCACTACATTTCCTAATCCTAGTCTTCAAATATTCTCAATAAACTCTAAATTGCACTGAGTTATTCTTCCTAATTATGGAAATCAATGAAAATCGATATAGCTCATGAGTCACAGCATATATATTGCTATGGCATACTTCCTCCGTTTCTTAATACTTGCTACACTTCTAATTTTACACTTGCCAATACATAATTTCAACTACGATATATCTTTAATTCTCAACAATCAAAAACCATGGAGTATAAAAAGTTGATACTTTGGAAGAATACACACACCGAGTAGATTATAGAATTATAACAAGATCTCACTGTATTAAGAAACGGAAGAAGTATAGGGTTATAAACAAGGAAGCATCCAAATCACATCGCATAATCAATATTAGTTAGAACAACAAAATATCAAAATAATCAGAAAATTCCCAATTGAATTTGAAACCACAAATCACAAGAAAAAAAACCCAATTAAATTTGATAACAAACATAAATTCGTATAATAATAGCTTGAACAAATCCAAATCCAACCCACAATCCCAAAGAAAAAAAAAATTATTGCAAAGCAAAGAATAAGCAAAGATTCGAGAAGGGTATAAGGAAATTAACAAGAAAAAGTTACCAGAAAGTCGGCAGTTTTAGGAAGACAAATTGGATAGCAATGAGAGCAGATGAAGTTGAGAACAAAAGTGTGTTTTATTCTCGTGTTTTTTATACAGTGATGGAGATCTCATATGGATTTAGACTTTTGTAATAGCTAATGTTCCATTGGGCCCAAGGAATTTGTATTCAAGTTTAGTTTTGGGCTCTAAAAAGAGGATTTTTTTTATTTTTTATTTTTAAAAAATAATTTTATTACTCCGTAATATTTTTCGGGTTAGGATAAGATTTTAAGTGATGGAAATTTCTTAAAATTGTTTGGTTAACCATGAGGAAAATAACTTTCCTTGGGAATTTCTACTTACCTAAGGGTGATTAGGTAAGTAAATTCATATATTTTGTGGGAACTCAAAATTTTTAGGAAGTTTCACTTCCCCTATTTTACCAAACTTTTGCCAACCAAATAACACACAAAACTAATACAATTCCTAGGAAGTCTCACTTCCCATGTTATTTAATGTCAACCAAACAAGCTATTAAATTTGAGGTTGATGAACTTTCTTTCTCACTTTACTACGTAGTAACCTATTATTTTCTAACTTTTATTCAATTGATTATCTTACTATGCTCTTTTTTCTTTATAGACGGATTCTTTTTACGATTCATGTTAACCAAAATTGAATTATTATAGGATTAAGGTTTTGTTGTGTATTCGTGATGTAAGTAGCTTTTAACAAAAGTTACAAGTATTACCATTAGAAGAATAAAAGTAGATGCTGTCGTACTTTATAAATTCGAAGGAAAACTTAAATCTATCTCACAAGCAGTTTATAGTTAGCAGCTACTCAACAGAACCTTTACCAAATGTTCATACTTTAAGACTTTTCACTGCTATAATTATCCATCTTCACACTTAATAGCTACTCGTAGATTTATAACGTGATTACATTTTGTTAGATAGGGCCTCAATCAAAACGTTTAGCTTAGTTTGTAAAGTTTCACCTTAGTAACTAGAGTTTTAAAGTTTGGATCCTATCAAGTAAGGGGCACTTGGTGGTGGAGATCCTCTTACCTCATCCCAGACTTCTAAAGTTCCAATTATCTAGCCTGCAACTATTAAACCAAAAATCATGAGTGTTGAGGTTTGATCAGAGTCTCACTACTCCACCTCAACTCTAGAAAAATTGGCTAAAAAACTATCTATTAACTGACCCAAACTAACCTGCACCTTTTGACTCAAAACAAGCCACATGTTTTTTAGTTGAAATGACTAAAATTCTTCAATTTTGCTATATTTATTATGGTTAGAGATGTTCTCATCCAACTACTATAAATTCAATTTCCTGCTTTCTTCAAAAAAACTACAATAAAAATGTACATCATTTCCCTTATTTTATTTATATGGCTATACATATAACCCTTCAAAGCTTTAGATTGCATAATTACCGAATATATTTCCTAAAATGGTATAAGTTTGAGAATTTATAACAAATCATGCATAGATTAATGTTATTAATGTCTAATAATCCTTTGTCTTTCCTTTATAAATTTCTTATACGCCCCTTACATATCATTTTCTTTCTAATTATTTAATCAAACTCAAATAAAATCTTATCATTGTGAAACGTAAACTTATTTACCAATACAAAAAATGTGGAAAAAAAATTGTAATTAAACAATTGATTGATCACCAACTACTTTGTATACTTGTATAACTTCTATGGGATTATCACTTTATCTTGTTCTCAAATAAAAGATCAGAAAAATAAAATAATAGAAAAAAAATTTAATAAAATTTCAACCACCGACACGTGGTTGAAAATCTGAAATGACAAATAGAGGTCCATAGACTGTGGCGTAAAACAAATTAAAAAATAGCATAAAAATAAAATAAAATAAAATGGAGTAAAAAAAACCCAAACAAAAAGAAAAATTGATGCCAATTGCATAACAGAGTGACTGGGTTAAAGAGAAAGAAGAAGAAAAAGAGAGCATCCAACGACGTAGTTTTGTGGGTTCATCGATCAATCTTCAGGTTATCCCTAATTTCTTGTATTAATTGTTGATTCTATTCTTCAAGTTTTGATTTTGAATGATTTTGATTAATTTTACTTTTTAAAATTTACTGTTCTTGATATTTTGTGCGTTTTAAATATCTGATTTAATATGGTTTTTGGGTGTTGTGAGATTTTTAGGTTTTGTTCATATTATGGAATTAATTATCTGCTAAAACCCTAATTATAGGTTAATGATTGATGGGGTTTTCTCAAATTTATCAGATTATAGTGTAATCATGTTTTTCCACTTTGATTCTAAAAGATTTGCCTTTTTTTTTTATACGGGGTTTCTAATTTAGTCTGTAGATAGTGTTCTGCTTAATTATTTTGTTTTTGCTTGTTGATTATTTATTTCCTGATTCCGGGTATCTTATTTTGCTGGGCAATTGGTAGGCTGAAGGAATCATATGCTGGAATACTAAGAAATAAGTGTGAATTTTGAAGATTGTTATAAGATATGATGACTTCTTCTGGGTCAGGGGCATATAGGGTTGGAGGATCTTTATCATCATCTAATCTTTCACCCTTAGCTCCCCCGTTTAAGGTTGATAAATTCCTTTTGAAGCCGAATTCAACGAACACGTCGGTGAATTATCCTGATGTGCCTGTGTATGGTACTTGCTTTGACCCCACCCCTGGCCACTTCTGGAACTCGTCTTCGTCGTCTAACTCTGGACCAAACTCTGTAGCAACTGAGTCTGTGGTTACTAATACCAATTGCTCATCTTCAGCTCACATGTATGGGTACCGAGACCCCCAATCCAGCAGTTCGTCTGCCAGTGTTTATTATGGTAACACTAATTCTGTGCCTGCTTATGACCCCTTTTCGTATGAACCTTTTCCAACCACAAAGACTGATGAGGCCGCAAAGCCTTATTATCCTCCATATGTTTCTCCTCCACCCCAGAAAGATGAATACTTGGGTTTGGGGGTTGGTAGTGGGCCAAGTTATGACTTGCTATCTGCTCATTTGAGCGGACGTGGTTCTGCTCAAGTTGATCACACACAAGCTATGTCTGGTGATGGAAGATATAAATCAAAGTGGGGGCTTTCCTGGAGTGGATTGAATGAGAATGATCATGGCAAATGGACTGATTATACCCAGGGATTTGTTTCGAAGGACTTAAATAGTTCAAAGCTATCCAACAACAAGAGTTCTCTTGTTGATGGGAGTAATAAGAGTCAAACTTTTGTTGACATCAACGTTCATCCTTTTGCTAGTGGAAGCAACAGCAATAATCTGTTTGGTGATGCGAGCAACAAGACTCCAAATCAAGGTATTTTACTCCATTCTGCTTTGCATATTTTCGAAGACCATTTCAATGCCATGGTGTTCTGTTTTAGGATTCTTATTCTTAACACTAGTGAGAGTGGATTTCTTTTTTCATTGGCTTGTTCTTTGTTGTTTGTGGCTTATTAATTATTGCTGGTGAAGTTGAATGACCGAACAAGTTGAATGGGTATAATCAGGAAATTTTTTAAATTTACTGGGGAATGGGTCAATTGTGATTGGATATGAATGAGAAAATTTTCAGTTGCTTTATGCATATGGTGTTATGTTTATGTTATTCCCGGCCTTTTCTCCTGTAACTTTTATATAACGTGACCTCTTACCAAATTTGATGTTGTTTGGCTTTTAAGTGACCAATATTACCTTTTCTCTCCCTTTTTAATGTCTTTGAATTTTCGTACCAGTAGTGATGTTGTCAAGGTATTTAGTAAATTGTACAGCTTGCTTTGACGTAGTCTAGCTGTCTAGGCACCTTGCTAAATCTCAGTACTGAAGTTGGTGGAATGCTGGGGTTAGTGTATTTTCATACTTTACATTTTTTGAGCTATTATTGTGGCCGAGATCTTCTGATTCGGCCTTGACAGTGTTAGATTTGTATCTGTGTTGTGGTGGGCTTAGTATGTTTTTCTAAACAGCAGCTGTTAAGATTCTGTTCTAGGAGTTTAATTATTTATATTTTTTGAGTTGTGGATTTAAATGGACTAATTAAAATAAGTCATTGTGGAGTACTAGACAGCTGTTGTATTTCAACAGTGTCAACTGGAAACAATCTATTGCTCTAAGAATGCATGTATCTGAGTGTCCAACATTATACCCCTTTTACCCAGCTTAGAGAGGGAGTTATTAGCACTGGGGATTGGGGTAGTGATGATGATGTTGACCAAAGTATTCCACTGTTTTTTCATGCCAGTGATCACTGAGGTGGACAAAATTGGTTTATTTTTAAAGATTGACTATCAAGGGTTTTTATTTCCTTTCTCAAATCACTTTGCATGTTGTTAGCTTATGAAACCATGCTTATTTTGGTATCTATGAATCTATCATAGCAACGGGAAGCATCTTTCTCAGAAACGCATGAATGCCTTTTAGTGTTCCATTAAAATGTGAAAGCTTGTTGGTTATAGTTTTCTTTTGGCCATGAGAAACCAAACAGTCGTGATAAGTCTTTTGAATATCTTTCAACATTATATCTTCTTGGTATATAATGCTAAATCCTTGATATCTTTGTGATCAGTGATATTTGCTGTTCTTATATTCAGGGGCTTGTGGTTTACATGGGCAAGTCTCTACTGCTAAAGATAACTGCTTCGATATCTTTGGGGGAGGATATAGTCTGGGGAGCCTTGGGATGAATCAGCTAGATTGTAAGTTATCATCTGAATGCTCAAGAACGCGAACCTCTGCTTTTGCATCCGTCACTAAAGAAAGCCCTCATCTTCAGGAACCAGTCCTGGAATCAATTACAAGTTTCTGTGGCCCTCAAAAGGCAAATAGTTCTTCACCTGAGGACCAATTCAGCCAAACAGGCTATTATATGTTTGGTCGTCCATCAACCACCAACACTTTCCCCATGACTGTGTCCAAATTACCGTATGGTGGGAGCAGCTCTTTAGTGCAAAGTACTCCATCAGGTGCTAATGTGGATTCTATGGGCATTGATTCAGCCAACCAAAGTAACTCTGCTGCAGGGTATAACTCTTATCAAATGGAGCCTCAGATTCCAGTTGGCTCAAAACGCCATTCGAGCATTAGAATCAGAAGACCTGTCCCCTCCTCAACAGCAGCATCTGCTTGCCAAATAAGAGAAACTGCAGATAATAGACTTGATGACAAAGTTGTTTCTGAGAAAAGGAAATTTTCACCTGAACTACCTCATGAATTAAATTTAGATGGTTTAAACATGGAAGCTAGCAATGCTGAAGCTGTATATTCTATAGAGAAACATTCTGGGGGGT